CAGAACTGCCAGACAAAGAGAGGGAGTTAGGATTTCAAAATCACCCACCATTGCCTCAAATTTGAGAGACGAAGAGAGGGAACTTAGGGTTTCAAAAACCATTGTTGTCCTTTCGATATCTCATATTTTTTAAGCTTTCAACCCTTTTGATTTCTTCTGCAATTTTGGGTTGATCCTCGATGATTTTGGGCTAATTGGTTCTTCTACTAAAGGCTGCTACAGTGGTGCAGAGAGAAGACAGGTGATTTCAAGCTAGTTCTTTGGAGAGAGAGAGAGAGAGAATATTGGGTGCAGAGGACGACGAAGGTTAGGTTTGGGGTTAGGAATAGGACTAGGGGTTTGGTTTGAGTTTGAGTTAAAGAGAAGAGCAAAATAGTCTTTTTATTAAGATAGTTACCTTCGTCTAACAACTGAGTTCTCTGTGTTATTTTTACAATGTGAGGAGGTGTGAATGTAATTTGTCCGATTAGGTTAAATTATATATAATGGAACAATAAATTACATAATACATATCATTATCGTTAACTTTGATTAGGAAGATCTAATAGAGAATACATAGCATTATTCCAGGGATTTTGGTGATCTAATCTTTCCGTAAGAGGATAGGCAAGCCTATGATAAGTAGAGGTGTTAAACGTGTCAGGTTAAACGGGTGATGAGTGAAAAATATATAAGCCTGTACACAACACGTTTAATAAACGGGTAAAAAAATCTCAACACGAATACGACCCGTTTAATAAACAGGCAACACGACATGACTCGTTTAACCCATTTAATTTTAAAAAATTATATTAACAAATTTTAATACTCTACTTTTTGTTATTGTCAATTGCACTTACCTTAAAAAAGAAGAATTTTTAGCCAAATCTTCTAAAAATAAGAGTTGAAGGCTTAAAAAAAAAACAAGAGACCTTTGCTTTTTATAGGCAACTCAACCCTCCCCATCTTCCCTCATTTTTCAATGTGGGACAAAAACAAAAGGCATTAATTTGCCTTTGTCTTTGAAGTGCTCCTCATCTCCTCTCTTTTGTCTTTGAATTACTACTTTAATTTTTTTTTATTGATTTCTTTATTTCTTGCTAATTTTTTCAAATAATTATTAATTTATTATTATATTAATTTTATTTAAACAGGTAAACATGTGATAAATGATTTGACACATCTCACCTGAACACAACCCGTTTATCACCAAAACCCATTAAGATCTCATCNTTAACGGTCAAAGCTGAACTCTTCAATCATAATTTTCAAAATACCAAAAATACCCCTCAAATTTATCCAACCTCTCATTTGTTTTTTTAATCTATATATGAAATATATAGATTAAAATTTTTAACACTTATTTGTTTAATTTCTAAATACATTACATTAATAAATAAAATATAATTTTTTTTTTGTTTATTAAATAATATTGGGTATTATTAGTACAATTAGAAAAGGAATCATTTTTTTAAAACCGTAATAATTATTAGATCAAAAAAATTATCCCATATTAAATTTATTTTTGTTTATTATGTATCTAATTACATAAATTTTTACTCTTGCCACCATCACCATCACTTCTGCCGCCATCACCACTGCCTAAACCTAACCACCACAATAGTGCACCTGCCACCTAACACATCCAAGCACCACCAGCACACACACACACACACAAANACCATCACTTCTGCCGCCATCACCACTGCCTAAACCTAACCACCACAATAGTGCACTTGCCACCTAACACATCCAAGCACCACCAGCACACACACACACACACAAAGACAAACAGAGATAAAGACTGAGGGAAAGCACAATCCCATGGAAACCACCTTTGCCTCCACCACTGAAACCACCACCTTGCCAAAACCAATCATCAACCATCTCCATACATGACCCTTCTCCTCCATAACATCGCTACCAACTCAGTAACACGCACCAACAAATCACCACTACCATTGCCACCACAAAATGCCTCAGAACTGCCAGACAAAGAGAGGGAGTTAGGATTTCAAAATCACCCACCATTGCCTCAAATTTGAGAGACGAAGAGAGGGAACTTAGGGTTTCAAAAACCATTGTTGTCCTTTCGATATCTCATATTTTTTAAGCTTTCAACCCTTTTGATTTCTTCTGCAATTTTGGGTTGATCCTCGATGATTTTGGGCTAATTGGTTCTTCTACTAAAGGCTGCTACAGTGGTGCAGAGAGAAGACAGGTGATTTCAAGCTAGTTCTTTGGAGAGAGAGAGAGAGAGAATATTGGGTGCAGAGGACGACGAAGGTTAGGTTTGGGGTTAGGAATAGGACTAGGGGTTTGGTTTGAGTTTGAGTTAAAGAGAAGAGCAAAATAGTCTTTTTATTAAGATAGTTACCTTCGTCTAACAACTGAGTTCTCTGTGTTATTTTTACAATGTGAGGAGGTGTGAATGTAATTTGTCCGATTAGGTTAAATTATATATAATGGAACAATAAATTACATAATACATATCATTATCGTTAACTTTGATTAGGAAGATCTAATAGAGAATACATAGCATTATTCCAGGGATTTTGGTGATCTAATCTTTCCGTAAGAGGATAGGCAAGCCTATGATAAGTAGAGGTGTTAAACGTGTCAGGTTAAACGGGTGATGAGTGAAAAATATATAAGCCTGTACACAACACGTTTAATAAACGGGTAAAAAAATCTCAACACGAATACGACCCGTTTAATAAACAGGCAACACGACATGACTCGTTTAACCCATTTAATTTTAAAAAATTATATTAACAAATTTTAATACTCTACTTTTTGTTATTGTCAATTGCACTTACCTTAAAAAAGAAGAATTTTTAGCCAAATCTTCTAAAAATAAGAGTTGAAGGCTTAAAAAAAAAACAAGAGACCTTTGCTTTTTATAGGCAACTCAACCCTCCCCATCTTCCCTCATTTTTCAATGTGGGACAAAAACAAAAGGCATTAATTTGCCTTTGTCTTTGAAGTGCTCCTCATCTCCTCTCTTTTGTCTTTGAATTACTACTTTAATTTTTTTTTATTGATTTCTTTATTTCTTGCTAATTTTTTCAAATAATTATTAATTTATTATTATATTAATTTTATTTAAACAGGTAAACATGTGATAAATGATTTGACACATCTCACCTGAACACAACCCGTTTA